ATTAAAGTCCCCAGGAAATTATTGTGGATCAACAAAATTTCTCTGCAGAGTGTGCCACCTAGTGTACATAATGGAGAAGGCATTGCAACGTCAACAATAAGAATACTTTTTATTAAAACAATATGATATGGGTATGCAGTTGGATAAACTGATCAACAAATATATCTAATTAGAGATTATGAAATGCATAGCTTAAAAGTAATGCCTATCTAAAGGTCCTCTTCTTCCTCACCCAATGTAAAGGGGAATATTCAGATCTATAGGATGCTGTAAGTCGCTAGTGCGTGACCTACATCAATGCATGCATACCCTGCAGACATCCAAGTGAATATTCTTTACTGCTTTGGTGACAACGTGCCAGTGGTATAACAAAAATAATTTGACAATATATAGATTGCCAGATCATCTGTCACATTAGAGCAATGGGCCATGAGCCAAGGATTTGGTTTTTTAATACTGGTGGTGCCTGCGCGTGGACTGGCCTGGCTCTTTTGCCTAGGATGATAGTGTCATTCCCGGTGGGACCAATGGTGTGGGCGAGTTATAGACGGGAGAGATGATGATGATTGAAGTACATGGTCTTCCTAGGGCAGCCAGGCCACGTTTTGCCTGAGTATGGGGCACATGTCAAAATGAGCTCTTTCTGGACTAGCATGGAGTGTAGTTGGGAAACATTAAATTCTACATTTTATTTTTTATCCATTATTAATCAACCTAGTGATGTTCCATATATGATGTCTAGAAGACAGACAGACACACACCTCCACGTCAAGTTAATGTTAAAGCCCACAAAGGCTTTAGAGGCACCTGAGTGTCTTGGATAAAAGGAATGGGGATTTAGTTACAGTATACGATCATACATTGCATAAACTTGCTTTAATTCTGATGTGCGCTATTTTTGCCAGATCAAACTTTATACCTGCCTATTGATTGTTCTTATGAGAGTAAGCCATTTACTTGGCATTGTTTGTGCTGTAAAAGAAAAGGGACACTTTACTGTGCACATACAAAAGAAATCTATTTAATAGATACACCCAATGAAAAAAACCATGCATTTAATTATGCATTTTTTCATTAGATATCTAAAAACAGCTTGCAAAAGATTTAGATCTCTTGTCTGCAGCCTTTGCAAGACCTCCCATTCTAACCCCGCCCAGACTTTCTGTGGCTGTCCAATCACAGACTTCCCAATGCAGCTCAACAAGATGTTTTTGCAAGGCAGGAGCTCTGGGAAACTGCTGTCCGTAATTCCCCTCTTCTGATATGACAGGAGGGTGGGTGTGGAGACAGAGACAGCATGTGATTCTGTTTTCACAGCTCCTCCCAGTGAAAGTGAATAATGGATGGGTATTCATACTCAGGTTATTTACAGCTATTTTAGCTATTCTTCCAGAAAAAAAAATAATTTCTTCTGCATTCCCTCTCCCTGCATGTCCGTATAAAGAGGGTCTGTATTAGGGAAACCAGCCACAAATAGTGACTGCTATCATGACATGTTTAAGAATGATGGATGTGTCAGTAAGGAAATAACATATTTATTGGTGGGTGTGACATCACCCACCATGCCTTATGGGATTTGAATTCATGATCTGCAAGTTGAAACGACTGGTAGATCATTTAATATGAATAACTGAGCAGTTAATGTTTAGGCCAAATTAATAAATCTGGAAAAATAAATGTGGCGGAGAAAACATAATTTTTACAAATTGCTTAACTTGACCTGAAGTAGGTAGTCTCCTAAACCACAAATAGAACAATATATGTATGTAGGTTATAAACACTGATGAGCCACAACATTAAATCCACCTGCCTAATATTGTGTTTGTCTACCTTGTGCTGCCAAAATAGCCCTGAACATGTTCTGTGGTTATTGGCACTTGGGTTCCCATAACACTGTACCAAGTTCACCGGGTGTCCTTTCTTGCACCACTTTTAATAAATACTACCCACTGCATACCGGTAACACCCCACCAGACCTGCTGTTTTGGAGATCCTCTGACCCAATCGTCTAGTCTAGCCATCACTATTTTGGCCTTTGTCAAAGTCACTGGTTCCAAAACATGAAATTCAAGAACTGGCTGTTCACTTGCTGCCTAATATATCCCACCCCTTGACAGGTGCCATTGTAATGATATAATCAATGCTATTCACTTTACCTGTCTGGGGTTTTAATGTGAACAGTGTATGCTTGTGCAAAGCCAAATTACTCAAACTCTTTTTTATTTTTTTATTTTAGTGTATATGGCATTATAAGAAGAAAGGATGGAAGGATGGCTGGATGGATGGATTGGCGGTTGGTTGGGTAGGTGTATGGGTGGGTGAATGGTTGTATTAGATAGATTTCACAGTTCACATCCCACTGAATAAAACACTGCTTTTAATACTGCAGAGGGTAGAAATATAACATTTCAACCTGCAGGGGGCAGTGCAGTGTTACAATGTGTGCTCTGCAGGTTCACATGGTATTAAAATGCTGAAATCGGTTCACTGTGATTAAGAAATGACAGGTTTGCATTCAGAGATTATTAGACTTGGCAATGAATTTGGAACAAATTGCAGTTTGACTGAATTTGGGCCTTTTGAGTTATTGGTTGAATTCCCGAACTCCGAGCCGAAAAGTATCTGAATCATGAAATAACTGAAATGTGCGATGACAAACATGTTCATTTAAATTCGTGATTAGGGGTTCCACCCGTGGCATTAAAGAAAGAGATGATGGGGAACAATAAATGCGGACTTTATTCATAGATCAAGTGAGAGGTGAGCAATTGAGGGGAAAAAAGGAGGATCAGTAAATAAATAAAATATATATATAAAAATACATTTTATAAATATAGGTTATTGTATTTTTACCGCTCCGCCTGTTTTACCCTCTATTGGTTAATTTGAATCACGTGATTTGTGAACTAAATGGTGATAAAACGCACACTGATTTCGCTCCATTTTTGTTCTGATTCAGTATCGAAATTGAACTTGTTTTTTTAAAATTCTGTTAAGGAGAACTGATGTATGGATAAAATTTGGGTGCCCCCAAAATACAAAAATGTTTTCCATTTGTGTAACAGTGTTCATATATCAGTCAAAATATGGTCCAGCCCACAGAAGGCAGAGCAAGCACCTTTACTTTAATGCTGGGGCGTACCGGTATCCAGTGGCTTTTACAAACAGTCTGTTACCCTAGTGCATATACCTGAGCATTAGACACCCTCGCAAGGCAACTTGGCTTCAAGGCTGAGCTCCTCTATTGATTAGCCACCTGGGACAAAATATCCGGCCAAGCTTTGTATCGCTACCGCCCCAACTGCCAGTTAGCCATGCCCAAAATTTTACAGTGATAGGTCCTTCTTGACACTCGACTAACTAAGTGAGCATTACCAGTTTTCCCTTGTTTTTTGCCTTCCTATTATTTTCCTATAAAGAGGCTAGACTAATCTTATTGTGAGTTATGGCCAAAGTAAGCTCTCGGTATTCTTTTTTTGTTTTGTTTTGTAAATATCATTTTATTGAGATAGTTTCAATGTAAAAAACACGCATTTAGTCTGTGAGCAGTGCGAAACACGCAGGTTTCAGACAGTCAAAGTCTTGTTTGTTGATTTGAGATACGCAGATCTCCAAAGAAGTAATGGTAGTTGAGACTCATAGGTCTCTGGGCTTAGTAGGTTTCAGATTTATAATAGTTACAAAGCTTGTTGCAGATTAATTACAGTTTGTCAATTGCATTATCTATGTTCAGGTTATTTGTAGTTGCAAGCTCTGCTCTATGCTTAGTTTTTTAATCGTAGGTTCTATCGTTAAATTGTCCTTATGTGTTGTAAGTGTCTTTCGGGTCTTTCGTCAATATTGGGTCTAGAATGGGGATAGGGGGAAAGGTGTTGTAACCAGGGCCAGATTAACATAGGGGCTGATGGAGCTGCAGCTCCAGGCCCAGGCCCAGGCCCATGGAATAAGCCCATTGATTTAAAAAAAAAAAAAAAAAAATTTTATTTTTTTTTTAAATTTTTTTTTTCACACACTCCTCTTAGGGATTCCATCTGGCTTTTATTTTATTGGCATAGCCAGTATTTGAGGCTGCCTGGCTGGTGCCAATATTGCAGTGATACTGGCAATACAAATGCTGGTATTTTTCTCAGTATAAACAAGAGATTACTATGCAATACCAGCACTGGCCAGTAGGGGTCGCTGTATGTGGAGACAGACAGGGATAGGAAGTTTCAGCATATCCCTCCCTGCCTATCTATACTCACTGATCTGCAGGGGTGCAGCTACAGAGAGTCCAGACAGCAACTCCCACCCTGCAGAGACAGCTTACAGCTCAGGGAAGTAAGGGATGGAGGGAAAGGCTGCAAGGAGACATACACTGAGACACTAAGGGGCACTGGGAGACATTATGGCAGACACTGAGACATTAGGGGACATTGGGAGACATTATGGCAGACACTGAGACACTAAGGGACACTGGGAGACATTATGGCAGACACTGAGACACTAAGGGACATTGGGAGACATTATGGCAGACACTGAGACACTAAGGGACATTGGGAGACATTATGGGGACACTGAGACACTAAGGGACATTGGGAGACATTATGGCAGACACTGAGACACTAAGGGACATTGAGAGACATTATGACACAGACACATGGGGACACAGTGTCCCCATGTCTCCCAGCCAGTGTCCCTGGTGTCTCAGTGCCCCCTAGTCTCCCAGTGACCCCTAGTCTCCCAGTGCCCCCAGTCTGCCAGTGTATCACTGTCCCCATGTCTCCTAGTGTCTCCATGTCTCTCAGTGCCTCAAGTGTCACAATGTCCCCATGTCTCCAAGCTAGTGTCCCTAGTGTCTGTGGCCCCATGTCTTCAAGTGTCCCCTATTTTCCCATTGTCCCCATGTGTCCCAGCCAGAGTCCCCTAGTCTCCCATTGTCACTGGTGTCTCCGTGTCCCTAGGTCTCCCCATGTCCCCAGGTCTCCCCATCTTCCTAGTGTCCTAGTGACATGGGGACCCTGGGATACACGGGGAGACATGGGGCATTGAGACACTGTGATACATAGGATCACTGGGAGACCTGGGGACACGACACTAGGGGACACTGGGAGACATGGGGCACTGAGACCCTGATACATAGGAACACTGAGACCTGGAGTAATCGACACATGGGGGCACCGAGTCATGAGGGCACTGGGAGACATGGGGGCACTGGGAGGAATCCATCTATACAGCAAAATCAAACTAAGTAGTTTTTTGGTGATTTTACAGCATTTTCTCTTATGTCACTCCTTGTGATTTACATCATGTGATGTCACTATACATATTTAATTATGCAAATTGTTTTTCCAAGAAAGGTGGCAACCCTAACTACTTTTCACATACTCTTACTTAAGTATGGAAACTTAAGTGGGATGTATGGGAACAAAACTTGTGTGGACTAGCTGACAATGAATATAGTTAAAGGTACACTATAGTCACCAGAACAACTACAGCTTATTGAATTTGTTCTGGTGAGTAGAATCATTACCGTCAGGCTTTTTGCTGTAAACACTGTCTTTTTTCAGAGAAAATGCAGTCTTTACATTACAGCCTAGTGATAACTTCCCTGGCCACTCCTTAGATGGCTGTTAGAGATCCTTCCTGGGTCATGGCTGCCTAAAATTCATCCAAACATTCAGTGTCTCCTCCCTCTGCATGCAGACACTGAACTTTTCTCATAGAGATTCATTAATTCAATTCATCTCTATAAGGAGATGCTGATTGGCCAGGGCAGTGTTTGAATCATGCTGGCTCTGACTCTGATCTGCCTCTTTGTCAGTCTCAGCCAATCCTATGGGGAAGCACTGTGATTGGATCAGGCCACCACTTCTAATGATGTCAACAGACTGCTTGTTTTTATGAGTCTAACAGCATGCAGAGTTACAGCTTCAGGCTTGAATATAGTAAGATTTTGTTATATTTATGGAGGCATGAGGGGCCCAGGGGGGCTAGATGGTGGTGTTAACACTGTAGGGTCATGAATTCATGTTTGTGTTCCTGACCCTATAGTGATCCTTTAAGGTAATGCTGACTTTGGTCTCTCTAACACTGTGGCATGTTCCCTTTCTTCTACACTCACTACATACAGCTTTTCTCTGTCCCAGACTATATACCAGGAGCTTCTGCCTGCTAGTAAGAAGGTAAGGAGACAAGTGGACCAGCGAGTGCTAGGGGACAGTCCTTAGAAAGCGTTGAGTGAGCGCATCATTAGATGCATTTATGCCAAGCTCAGGGTGCTGTCTGCATGGTATGCGCTTAGTTGGCCAGCTGCATGATTGGCAGGCAGCCTGACATTCATTCATGCCAGGCTGGCCTTCTAATTCTTTGGGCAGACATGTTCTCTTTTTGGGCATGTTCGCCCCTTTTGGCAGGTTACGTGATTTGTGTCAGTGGCACACCCTTTTACCATGCCCATTGACTTCCTGCTTGACTGGACACTGCTGTTAGGGGTTATGGATTTACTTGAAAGATGAAAACATAAATTAGAGCGATATTAGCCTAGGGTATGTGTTTTCTTATAGCTGCTGTTTTCTTTCTCTCCAACACCATCTCCATCAGATACATGACGCTTGGGAGTGTTTTACTGTTTTTGGTCGATATGATTCTGTAATTAGGCCCGTCATAATTGTCAGCACCAGGCCCACTGGGCTCTTAATCTGGCCCTGGTTGTAACTCTTAGTAGCCCTCGCCTATGTTTCATGACCTCTTTTCAGGTTGTTGGTTGTCATGTGTTTGGTGTAGTGAGAGGGTTATCCTGTTCTTTTGTGTGTTCTTGGGTGGGGTTTGGTCTCTAGGGGCAGTATGTCTGTTTGTTCGCTCAACTAATGCCCCTTTCAGTCTCCTCCATTGTTTACATTCAATGGTACTGTATTATAGCTGAGTTAGATGTTGTGTGTGTTATCTCCTCCCAGCGTGATTCCTCCCTTCCTTGTTTTGTCTGCCCCTGGGTGTTTAAGATTGTGCTTGTTACTTTTGCGTTCTTATATCTCAGGGGGTCCTTGGTAGGTCCCTCGGGCACTGGTCTTACCTGCAGGGGCTCCGAGGTAGGTCGGGGATATGGGAGTGCTGGGAGGGAGTGTCTTACTAGGGTTTTGAGGTGTTCGTGTGTGTCTTGATTTCTTATGTGTCTCGCCTCCTTTCTCCCTGTGTCCGTGTGTGTGTTAGGTACATCTACCATGGCCCCCACAGTTCTGTATGTTTGGTGCTTCGTCCCAATAAATCTGCCTATTTTGCTTCCGCTGTGTGGATCTCTTTACTCTCTGTAGCCATTGCGTGATTGTGGGTGGTTGGGTGTTTTTCCACATCGCTGGGATCAGGGATTTGGCTGCATTGAGCAGGTGTCTCAGGATGGATTTCTTGTATTGTGCGAGTGATTGTTCTGTGAAGTGAATCAGTTCGGTTTCAATGCTGAGTTCCGGCATATCTCCTAGGACCTTGATCAGTTCTTGTTGGATCGCATCCCAGTATGGTTTTATTTTGGCACAATCCCACCAGATGTGTCTCATGGTTCCCGTCTGGGTGCCGCACCTCCCACAGGTGTCCCTGGGAATATTCTATGTAGTAGCAAGGGCGTGCGGTACCAGTGTGAGATCAGCTTGAAGTTGACTTCTTGGTATCTTGAACTAATCGAGCTCTTATGCTGAAGTATGAGTATCTGTTCTCATTGGGCATCTGTGTATGTTCTGTCCATGAGGTCCTCCCACTGTCTCTTGAAGGCTATGTTCCTAACCCGTTCTCCTATTATAATCCGAAGTAGTAAAGGAGTCTTGGCAAGATGTTCATCTTCACTACCGCTATGCGGCCGTGCCAGGAGATGCAGTCGTAGTTCCAAGTTGTCAGGTCTTTTTGTATTTGTTTGAGGAGCGGGGTGTAGTTCTGTATATACGTTTCTGTTGGGTTGCTTGGTATCCAAATTCCCAGGTATCTCATCTGGTCGTTGCAGCTACTGAAGGGGTAGGTTCTTTTGATGAGGTCCCATGGGGCAGTGTGTGTAATGGGGGGCAGTGTGTGTAATGGGGGGCAGTGTGTGTATGGGGGGTGCAGTGTGTGCATGGGGGGCAGTGTGTGTAATGGGGGCAGTGTGTGTATGGGGGGGGAAGGAGGCTTTTAAATAATAATTTTTTTTTATTTTATAAAATAAATATTCTATGTCCCCCCTCCCTTCTTACCTTTATTTAGGAGGAGGGGGGACATTTCCCTGGTGGTCCGGTGGGGGATTCATTGGTGATCAGGTGGTCAGAGTGAACTCTAGCCCGCGCTCCCGGGCTAGAGTCCACTCACGCGAGATTTGGAGCGTTGCCGTGGTAACCGCGGCAACGCTCCAAATCTCGAGCGAGGAGGACCCGGAGGAGCTGCAGACTGAGCTCCGGGTCCTCTTTCTCACTCCCTCCCTCTGCCGCCGGCTGTCAGCACAGTGCCTGCGGACCAGGGAGGGAGAGCTCTGATCTCTGATCTTCCTCCCCGGTCCGCAGGCACATTGCAGGGCTGGCACTTGGGCAATGCCAGCCCTGCGTTAGCCGACAGGGGGGAATCTCGGGGGGGGCAATTGCCCCGTTGCCCTCCCCCCGGATCCGCCAATGCCAGGATCGGACCAGGGGTTCGGGAGTTATGGCAGGCGAAAGATTTGACCGACTGCACGGGCACAGTAGCCGAAAATAGTTCCATGAATTCTGGCCCTGCGGTCGGTCTCTTTTTGTGAATCAAAAGTCCCGAAAGTCTATGGCATCCGGGCTTCACTTATCGTTCGGATGAATCCCCTCATTCGTGGGATTCCACATACCGAATGCTGGGGTGTTCCAGTGGTTTGTTCGTGACTTTTGGGAGTGCTGGAGGTCTTAGCGGTGCTTGGTTAGTCGAATGCCCGATTTGAGTTCCAGGCGTTCGACGACCAAGTACCGCTGTTCGTGCGTAAGATGGCTGCCGCCACGTGTTCGGTAGGCGAAATGGCGGCCGCACACAAACTCTCAATCAGCACCCTTTGCAACATTGTTGCCTTCGGTAATAAGGGGCACACGACCACACCGGGGTGGTCCCGCATTCGGTAGTTTAGTAGTGTTCGCATAAACTGTAGTGTAGATAATTCATGAACCGAGTCTCTGATGATTCCTGCCTTAGCAAACATACGGCCATTATAATCCAAGCGTTTATTCGCATAGGACAGTCAGTCTCTTATTGGCATGGTTTGCCACAGCCCCTAACCGGAATGAATGCCCCCTGAACTCCCGACCATCCTTACCCAGGAATTCGAGCCCCAAGTGGAACACCCCAACGAAATGGACGCAGGAGAGAAAACCCTTCTTCGAGAACCAAACAAGGGGTTAGGAGGCCGAATAGTCCAGGGGACAGAAGAGCACTCACCTAAGGAAAAAAAGGACAAATGTTGGAACCTGGCACCTCCCCCGATCGGAACGGTATATTTCCAACTTTCCCGGGAACCTAGTACATCCTGTTAGGAGCCTAACCATTACCCTGTGCATTCCATCTACCTCAGGAGAAAGCAGAAGGGCCCGGTCATGTCAACTCCACAACGTCCAAGAATGAACAGATTCTATTGATGAATCAGCCAACCGCTACCAACGTACCTTACCCAAAGACAACAGCTGTCGAGTGGCGAAAGCCTGAAGGAATTCCATTCCGATGCTTACTCAATCCACTAAAACACCCTCCCACCTGCAGATGACCGTAACATGAACGGGAAGCCGCCAAGGAAATGCTCTCATCCGGCCCGATCACTCACTCTTTACTGTAGCGGGCCCCACACCGCCTCAGAGATTTACCCATTTAGCTTCATCAGTCCGCTAGACCGAGCGACCATGTCTCCACTGCCTTATTATTTTGCTCCGCGGAGCCCCCTGCCTGAAGTACGTCCTACCGTGAACAAGATAGAACCCCCGGGAAAAACCCTGCCTGACCAGACACTTCCAGACTCAAGCAGCGTCGAGCCAGGCGCCACAACCAGGGTAGAGGGTACTGTCACATGATATAGACAGCCTGCACCACCCCACGATTGACTCAATGGAAGAACTACCCACCCCTGTCCGGGAGTTGGGTACCCCACGTTGTAACGGCTACCCAGCTGGTAAGGGGTATCTGCCGTTGGAGACATCCTTTTCTAGGCAAGCTGCTGTGAAGTAATGGAGTTCTTATTCCCATCCACGATATCCAAGGGTACAAGCAGGCATCACTATAAAATGAGGCAGAGT